GGTCAAGTTACTACACCTCATTGTATTTAGACTATGGGATCTCCAAAAGTTTATAATTTAATTCAAACAATAGAATGATTAAGCAAATGGTTGGGAGCAAAGTCAAGTTTAGTACTTTTTACCAGTTGTCTGTCTATACACCTAACCTGAGCATCTTTTTGCTTGGGTTAATTGAGGCAACTAAGGATGGTAACATATTTAAATAAATAAATAAATAAATAAATAAATAAATAAATAAATAAACATATCATTGTCAAGGAATTTCAATATGGGTAACACATACGTTATCATGCTGACCATCCTGCCTGTACAATTGTGAATGCACAGTGCAGACTGGGGTGCCCAAAAGTGTCTCAGGACTCAAATATTGAGGAAGATTGAAAGATGTAAAATGGGACAATAAGCTTTGCTTGTAATTCAGTAAAGCAGTTGAACCTGAGTAAGACTGAGGATGGCAAAGTTGTACGGGAGTCAGATGTAGTAAATATTTTTAAAATCCCTATAAGTGAGTTACTAAGTAATTGACCACCAATAAGCCCTTGGAAAGTTACTGTAGTATTCACTGTTTAAAACAGAGACTATACAAACTACAAAGACTAAGTCCTCAGAGCCCTGCTTCTTCTTATTTAGAAGAAACTTGAACATTAATAATCCCCAATTTTATTATATTTTGAATATCAAGAATATGTCAGAGGGAATATTCCATATTTTGTTCATAAAGGGTTAAAAGTTATAAAATACGACAAGAACAGGCCGATATAGTAATTGACAATATACAACAGCAGTTCTCAACCCTTTGGCGGTCAAATGACCCTTTTCACAGGGGTCGCCTAAGACCATCCTGCATATCAGATATTTACATTACGATTCATAACAGTAGCAACATTACAGTTATGAAGTAGCAACGAAAATAATTTTATGGTTGGGTCACAACATGAGGAACTGTATTTAAAGGGCCAGAAGGTTGAGAACCACTGATATACAAGCTGGAACAAGAAAATCAAGGTCAACATTCAAATTTAGAATGGGAATAAAAAAATACACACTAAATCTAAGTATGTTTATATAATTTAAAATGTCTTCCAAGCATGCATTTTATGTTTTGGTTAATAATATTTACATGAACTTCAGAGTAGGCTATTGCTGATTTGTTCTATGGCCCAAAGGAGTTTTAATCCCCAAAATGCCATTTGGCATAAGGATTATTTTGAACTAAAGGAATCTTTTTGTTCAATTTTTATTAAAATATTTATGTTTTGTCCAGTTGGTGTGGCTCAGTGGTTGAGTGTTGACCCATGCACCAAGAGGTACACCGGTTTGATTCCTAGAGGCACATGCCCAGGTTTCGAGCTCAATCACCAATAGGGGCTGTGCAGGAGGCAACCAATTGATTTTTCTCTCTCATCAATGTTTCTATCTCTCTCCCTACTCCCTTCCTCTCTGAAAAAATAAATAAAAACATTTTTTAAAAAAAAACTATGTTTTGCTACATGGGGTTTCATTTCCTTATGAGGGTTCTTGGGTCATGTAAAACTTATATTCAGTAAATTTCTACTGTTAACTTATCTTACATCAATTTGATTCTCAGGCCCAGCTGAAAACTCTAGGAGGGTAGAGATAAAAAGCTGCCTCTCCTAAAAATGCAAATCACTTCAATGAATACATGAAGGCTGAATTATATTAGATCTAAATGGACAAAATTTGTTTGTTTATTTGTAAAGATTTAGCCTAGACCAGCCATTCAACCTACATGGAAAATTCTATAGTTGCTAATAAGCTTATAATAAGTAGTAAGTCAAATACTACTTCACCTATAATATATAATAAATGAAGATTAGAGACATTTCTTGCTACATCTTAATTTAGTATGCATTTATTAAACTCTCTTTAACACCTTGCTAGAGACTGCAATATCCTATATAATAAAATCCTAATATGCAAACTGATCAAATGGCAGAACAACCAGTCACTGTGATGCACACTGACCACCAGGGGGCAGACGCTTAATGCAGGAGCTGCCCCCTGGTGGTCAGTGCACTCCCACAGGGGGAGCGCTGCTGCTCAGCCAGAAACTGGGCTCACTGGCAAGTGCAGCAGTGGTGGTGGGAGCCTCTCCCACCTCCTTTGCTGCAGGCGGGCGGTAAGGAACGAGGGGTCCCAGACTGCAAGAGGGCGCAGGCTGGGCTGAGGGACCTCCCCCGCCAGTGCACAAAATTTTGTGCATCGGGCCTCTAGTTTTAATATATTTCAGTATGTGTTGAGCAGCAGTCTCAAAACAGGTATGAGTTAAGAGACAGCAATTGCCTAACACAAAAATTATATTAAACTGCATCTGTATTTTAAAGCCACATTCATTTGATGGGTTAAGAAAGGATTTCCTAAGGCCTGTACCCAAGAGTCACTATTTTTCTTATTTTGAAGAGTTCAGCTGAAACTGCTTGGCCGCATTTACAAAAAGCATTTGGACAACTCCTGCCTGTCACACTTGCCAAAGCTCTCAAGTACAGAGAGTGGACATAATCTCTTTTCCACATTTCCCAACTCTAAATTAACAGAAAAATTAGCTCGTAATAACACCACACCTTAAGTTAGTCATATCAAGTGGCCAGCTCTACTTACTCTTTTGCAATTAAGGACTATTTCTATCCTTTGAGATTTAAATATGACTCAACTTCGTTACCACATAAGGCAAGTATGTTTGGCCACAAGGGAACTTTTTGGAGTGGGCCCCCAGTTGGCCTTCATTACATCATTACTACTTAATTCCAGTGGTATGAGTTAGGATTCAAATACCCAAACCAAACACAGTTAATGATGTAGCTCTTTAAACCTTAAGTTAAAGCCAAGTTATTTTTGTCTCTCATCTCTGAAAACCTTTTTTATAAGGTGACCCTAATAATTTCCCATCACCTCATAAGTTTATGTCTAATCTTGTTAATTGCTGGTGTGTATGGTGGGCTGAATGGTCTCTAACATCCAGGAATCCCTTGTGTGTGTGTGTGTGTGTGTGTGTGTGTGTGTGTGTGTTTTAAGGCAAAAGTGCAAGGATATTCCATCTGGGCTGATATGTATCAGAATCCGATAAAGACTATGTGCCCTTCCTAGATGTATAGGTCTTTTAAGGAAGAATGAAAAAAGAAGAGGTGATACCCAGGAAGATAACATGTTTTTGCTTTCCCAAGTCTCTAAACATCAGCATTTTTCCTTGAAGCTTAAAAACACAACTACAGTGGGGCCTTGACTTACGAGTGTCCCGACTAACGAGTTTTTTGAGATACCAGCTGTCTCTCAGCCGATTTTTTGCATTGAGTTGACAGAGTAATTTGAGTTAACGAGCTCCTTAATGAGCTCGGTCTTGGAACGAATTAAACTCGTAAGTCAAGGCCCCACTGTATGCTGCATAAACCTTTTATTTGCCTGCACTGGGACCTAATCATAATTTAATAGCTAAATACCACGTTATTTAAATGAAGACTAATGCAAAGTCAACAAGCCTCCTACGCAGGGGTTTAAAATCACCTGCATGGCAATCTACAGCTACACTGAAGATTCCGGGAGAATGAGTATCACATGGCACGACAACCGTTAGGATCCAGGACAGTCATAAAGCAATACTACTGTTCAGAAGTGTTCTATGAAATAGCAGGAAGTGTTTCGAAAGAAGCCTCTGGCTTCAAAAGATGACTTTTCAAACGAACTTTTGGTTTTCTGGAACCGAAACACCCAGCTGATGGTCCCCCTTTCTCTGAGGGACTGATGAACATAAATTTAATCTCATATCTGAAGTTGGGAAGTCTGTTCTTAAGTAAATGAGTACCTGGGTTATAACTTTTCAATACTTTCTCATATGCAATAAGCTTTGGATGAATAGTGCACTACCTAGTGCACAGACCTGCGTCCCCACAGTCCCTGTCCTCTACCAGCTGGGTGACCGTAGAAGGTATGGGCTTCGGTTTATGCATTTATAGGATCAAGGATGGCCTCTCCAACCCTGAACATGCTCCCAGGCAAGTGCTGAGCTTCTTAGCACCGGTTAATAATTGAACAGGGTACCACTTCCATATTTAAACTTTCCAAAAGTTGACATCTTTTTTAATACCTACATCCCAGCCACCCCACCACCCAGAGTTCACAAATTAGAGCAAGAAGAGGTACCCCTCAGAGAGGGGTGTCATGCTCCAAAATGACAGCTGAAAGCAAATGCCAGGAAAACAGATGGGGGAAGCGGGTGCAGGGGTGGGGCGCTGGTTTAGAGAGAGGAGGAGGAGCAACAAGTTTCCAGAGATGCCTTCCAAAACCTTCCCCTGGGTGGCCTCGCCTAGAACTGAGAGCAGTACTTGCAGAGGGGAGTTTCACTCATGAAGCGGAGTCTGGGATCCCAGGCAGAGGGTGAAAAACCTTCTGGAAAGGAACCTGGTCTCGAGGTTGCTTGTGTCCCTACCTAGAAGTGTAACTTTGGGTAAGTCAGGGACTCCAGTTCTCATCTGGGAAGGTGGAAGCTGAATGGAGCAGCCGGCCCCCTCCCGGGACTCCTCCTGGTGCTAATGAGCGGGTCCACGTTCCGAGTTCAAACTTCTGGAAAGGCCTCTAGGCTTCCTCACCCGGGGCCAGGTGGGCGCGGAGCGGAGTGGAGGGCTCTTTTCCATCCCTGGTACATGGAAGGCCCTCCGCGGACTGAGCAGAGCATCTCTCAGGCTCCTGCTCCCGGCACTGACTTCCCTGGTCCCGCCGCTAACTTCCCCAGCTACCCCGCGGCGCACTGTCCTGCCCCGACCGCGTCCACCCGACCGCGTCCCTCCCCCGTGGATCTAGTCTCTGTTCTAACCGTGCCCGGGCGAGTCCAGGCCGCGGCCGGAGGACGAGCGGAGACCGAACAGGGGCCCCTGGCCCCTGGGTCCCGGCGGTTGGCGAGCCTGGCGGACGCCCCTGCCCCGAGGCCGCCGCCCGCCCGCCCGCCCGCCGAGGGCTCTCCGCTTGTCCACGCCTCGGGCGCCGCTCACCCGCGATGTCCCACAGCTGCAG